GGCAGGGACTAAACACGATCACAGACTTTAGAGGGAAAACCAGCACACCGCAGACCACGGCCTCTCTGTGTGAGGATCTAAACGTATTCTACGCTAGATTCGACACAGCGAACACCATGAGACCGGACAGTGTGCGCACCGCGGATGACGTCAGTGCGCACACTGTGTCTGTGGAGGATGTGCGGAGGTGCTTCAGGAAGGTGAACGCACGCAAAGCTACTGGTCCGGATGGGATTCCCAGCCGCGTCCTCAAGTCATGCGCGGCTCAGCTGGCTGGAGTGTTCACGCACATCTTCAACCTTTCCCTCTCTCTGTCTGTAGTCCCAGCCTGCTTCAAAATGGCCACCATCGTCCCTGTACCCAAATCCTCCACCACCTCCTCATTGAACGACTGGCGACCTGTAGCCCTGACCCCCATCGTAAGCAAATGCTTCGAGAAGCTGGTCAGGGACTTCATCTGCTCTGCACTACCCGACTCACTGGACCCTCTACAGTTCGCATACCGCCACAACAGGTCCACTGATGATACCATAGCCCTGACACTACACATTGCCCTGTCACACCTGGAGAAGAGAGACACGTATGTGAGAATGCTGTTTGTAGATTACAGCTCAGCATTCAATACCATAGTTCCCTCGAAGCTGGACAGGAAACTGCAGGATCTAGGACTGAGCAGCTCCCTCTGCAGCTGGATCCTTAGCTTCCTGTCTGACAGACGCCAAGTGGTCAGACTGGGCAGCATCACCTCATCCCCCATCACACTGAACACTGGTGCCCCACAGGGGTGTGTACTGAGCCCTCTCCTGTACTCACTCTACACCTACGACTGCACGGCCACTAACAACTGCAACATCATTGTGAAGTTTGCGGACGACACTACAGTGGTGGGTCTTATCACCAACAGTGATGAGACAGCTTACAGGGAGGAGGTCAGCGCCCTGACCCACTGGTGTCAAGACAACCATCTCACCCTCAACGTCGCAAAGACAAAGGAGTTGATAGTGGACTTCCGGAGGTGCAGAGAAGTACACACCCCCATCACCATCAACGGCGCTGCTGTGGAGAGAGTGAGCAGCTTCCGGTTCCTTGGTGTACATCTGGCTGAGGATCTTACGTGGTCAGTACACACAAACAAAACAGTGAAGAAGGCGCAGCAGCGCCTCTTCTTTCTCAGGAGACTGAAAAGATTCGGCATGAGCCCCCGCATCCTCAGGACCTTCTATCACTGTGCCATTGAGAGCATCCTCACTGGATGCATCACCACCTGGTATGGCAACAGCACCGCCTACAACTGCAAAGCTCTCCAGCGAGTAGTGCGGTGCTCTGAACGGATAATTGGAGGTGAGCTTCCCTCCCTCCAAGACATCTACAGGAAGCGCTGCCTGAGGAAAGCGGGGAGGATCATCAAGGACTCCAGTCACCCCAGCCATAAACTGTTCAGACTGCTTCCATCAGGAAGGAGGTTCTGCAGCATCCGGTCCCGTACCAGCAGACTGAGAGACAGCTTCTTCCACCAGGCCATCAGACTGCTGGACACGTCATAGACACCTCACCTCCACTACTGGAACTTTAACATTATGCACTCCATACTGTACAGTAATGCCACTGTTTTGCACATGTCTCACTCTGTATATTTTATTTTATATATTTTATTTATTGTTTACTCTATTTAATTTGTAAAATATGTGTACACACACACACACACACACACACACACACACACACACACACACACACACACACGTAGAAAAATATTTAGTATACACATCCAGAAATGCATATACTATTATATATTGTACATAGACTTTAACTGAACAAACACACACATCCACACAAGTGCAATAATCTTTTCTGGCATCGTTGTATTTTTACTCAGTTGTATATAGCATTCGTATTCTATTTTTATCTTATTGTATATTTTTATTCTATTTTATTCTACTGTATATAGTATATTATTTTATTCTATTCTGTACAGCTGTGTACTGTATTTATTCTTATTGTATTCTAATTTTTGCGTCATAACTTTTGCACTGTCCACTTCCTGCTGTGACAAAACAAATTTCCCACGTGTGGGACTAATAAAGGTTATCTTATCTTATCTTATCTTATATTTATTAGTTTCAGATGTAGCCATTCTTGTATTTTGCTTGTTTACATTATTGTATTTTGCACAACTCTGTTGCTTGTGAAGCTCGCACACAAGAATTTCACTCACATGTGCTGTACCAATGTACCTGCACATGTGATGTGACAATAAAAGTGATTTGATTTTGATTTGATAAAGCAGTTCTGAAGGCAAAAGGAGGTCCAGCCTGGTACTATATGAGATCATTTGAATCTAATGAAGTGGCCAGTGAGTGTAGTTTGGATGGATAATTTGCTGTCTGTCAAAATATGGTTCTGTTATGGCTCTTGTATCGTATTATATACATTATATACAAAATGTAAAGAAAAAAGCCATTTTCAACGGTATGAACATGATTTTGTTACATCACAATTTGTGACTTTGATTTTATTTTTAACATAATTTTATACATCTGGAGATCCATTTCAGCACCTGCTCCAGTAACATACATATGTTGAAGGCACTGAAACAGAACTTTGTTTCCAGTATTTACGGTTTGAACATAGAATTGAAGAGTGCGCACATAACACATTTCTAGTTTATAAAACTCTATCTTAAATCCACGATGGCAGGATTTTAAAGTTATAGTTTTGTCTTCATCTGCTCCCTCCCGGAGCTCAGTGGTGGTGAACGAGGGAAACTTTAACAGCCAGGTCATTTACCAGATTGCAGAGTAGCACTGGCCATTTTACTACCCTCTAAATCTATCTAGCTAGTGTGTGTGTGTGTGTGTCTACATGGGCGGTACGGGTCGGCATAATGCCCAGTCAGACTGCATCTTTGAAGGATAGATAGTAGCAATTCATTCTCCTCACTGTCCTAAATCAGAGGCAATGAACTATCCCCCCCCCCCCCCCCCCCTCTCTCTCTCTCTCAGCTCTCAGTTTCTGTCTATGAAGTGTACCCTAAATAGCAACTTGAAAGCATGCTTCCACAAAAAAGGAGCAGAAATCAGGAATCAGCAACTAGAAGGAGAAAATCAGGGAGATATATAAAAAAAAAACAATGTGGAGCTTGCTATAAACAGAACCTTAGAGAAAGAATAAGAATATGCATGAATGTGTATGGTTAAAATAAAAAAAGGAAAGGCAGTGGAGTTCTCTTTAGTTCTGATATAACAAATTTCACAGCTAGCTAGCAATAGGCACATGGTGACACATTTTCTTTCCTACCCATGCATAGCTAGAGGAAAATGCAGGTAACACATCACAGTCATTTCAGCAGTAAAAGGATCTTCTCATTCATATTGGGCAGTGGTCTCCTGTATCTCAGTCGAGTAAAAAAGCAATTTATAAAAGATCTGCACCGTTTAATGTGCTTCTTCTACATTTAGTGTAGCAATTTGGTGGCAAGAGCTCACTGTTCTTTATTGTTTTTCAAGCAATTTCTGAATTGTTAAGGTGTGTACGTGTCTTTCTTGTGCACACCGACATGTCTGGTAGATTTTTCTTTTGACATTTAGAATACTTCCTAATCTCTTCAACGGAGGAAGAAAAAACATAATAGAGAGTGAGAGAAATGAATTACCCATGTTAGTGCAACCCCAACTCCAAACAAGATGTGAAGCTGTGTAAAATGTAAACTAAAAACAGAATGAAATGATTAGCATAAACACGAATTTATATAGATTTATAAACACCAATTGTATTCAGAATAGAATGAAGTAAACATATTAAATGTTTAAACTGAGACATTTTAGTCTTTCTTGAAAAATGTTTGCTTATTTTGAATGTTGACGGTGGCAACAACAGGAGAAGTAAGTGGTACTAAAATGAAACAGCGAGAGGAACATTTGGTAACAGTTCACTAGCATGATACAAAAAAAACATCCTAGAAAGGCAGATTTTCTCAAAAGGTTCACCAATCTGGAAAACACTGTCAACAAATTGTGGAACAATTTCAGATTAATGTTCCTCAATGTACATTTGTCAATGTACATTTGTGAATGTATCATCATCTACAGGACATGATACCATCAGAAGATTCAGAACATCTGGAGAAATCTCTGTGCACAAGTGACAAGGTTGAAAATCAATATGGGATACCTCATACACAAATACAGATTGTTCTATCATGCCAAGAAGAAGAAGAAGATCCAGAAACTCTGCTGTTGCCTCTGATCCTAAGCATTTAACCCTTTCGTGCATGAATTATGACAACCTCAATCTGCATTTTTTTTCTTAACATCTTTAGGTATGAAAAAAAAAAAAGAACTTCAAGAGTTTTTTTACATGTCCACTTAGGTGGACAATGTTTTGACTGGGTGGCAGTGTATGGGGTGACACATCAGTGTCCAATGTAGTGGTTTATGTGCAAGTATACCATCAACACTGACACAAATACAAGAAAACAGCCTTTGAATAGCTGTCCACTGTAGTGACCACTATGCGTGGAAGGGTTAAAATGGGCAGCGGCAAAGTTAAAAAATTTCAATATTAAGTTATTTTTGGAAAACATGGACACCGCATTCCTTGTGCTAAAAATAAGGACTATCTGGCTTTCTATTAGAGCTAAGTTTAAAAGGCTACATCTCTGATAGGTTCAAGGTTCAAGGTTCAAGGTCCTTTATTTGTCACATGCATAGTTATACAAGTATAACACACAGTGAAATGTAGCCTGACACGCTCCTCGACATGTGCAAAAATTGGGGGGGGGGGGGGGGGGGGTGTAGAGGAAGATATATATATATATATGTAGCCAAGTGAACTAATACTACGCATGGAAAGGGTTTAAAAAGAGGGAATTGTGTTTTTGCCTGTCTACCGGAGGTCTGTTGTAGGGTTGTCATGGTGATGACTAGACCTCGCGTTTTGGGGGTATACTGTCCCTTTAAGAGCCGCCGTAAGCCAGAGCACGCATGCACTCAAGTTTGTATCACACTGAGCGCTGTGAGCGGGAGCACTGGAGAGTTAGAGACTGCAAAAGATTCTGTGGCTAGCTACACACGAGGTAAATGTGCTAAAAAGTGTAGCATACTGCAAAATATTGTCACCAGTGTTGTAGTAGACTGTAATTAGCTAAGTTTCTTTAGCAATGACTCCATGTTTGTGACCATTTCTGTACAGTTCTTAACGCGCGACGGGTGCATGTTTAATGGTCACGTGCTGTGAAAGGGACTGAAGAGCGGGTTGGCGTGAGTAGTTACAGTGTCCTAACAGATTTCAAAGTTGTTAAGTTTATACTTTTACTCACTTTGCATAACTCTGTATGTTTCTGTTTGATTCAGAGGGGAGATCACTTGCTGTGTGATTCCTGCGTGTGTACTTGTCCTAGCACAGTAGCTGTGTGGAGAAACCGAAGTGAGTTCATGATGTTCTCCCATAGAAATGTATGTTTAAAAGAGAGTTTACAGTGCACTTTATTGCCAGTTGACCTGCGAAGTTGTGGGATGTAAACAATGTGTTTATTTGTTTTGTTTTCTCTTTTTTTGTTGTATTTGTTTCTTGACAGGTCACTACTGTTGTCTATACTGTTTGGATTTAACATGTACATATGATAGTTACTGTTGTCTCAGACCCTGAAAGGCAGTTTAGGCTGAGCCAGTGGAATAGTTAAATTTTGCCGTTTCACTCAAAACTACAGAATTAAAACTGTGCTCCTCCGAGTACAGTCGGAGAATAAAAAAGCCCACAAAAGAGTATTTCCTGTGTCCTGTCTCATTCCCCATGACCGGGCCACATATATATATCTATATATATATATATATATATAGATAGATATATATATATATATATATATATATATATATATATAGCACAAGTCACCATCAAGTGCGGGATCTACCAAGGAGATGCTCTGTCCCCACTGCTGTTCTGCATAGGCCTGAACCCCCTCAGTGAGATCATTAACAAGACTGGATACGGATACCGACTACGGAACGGAGCAGTTGTCAGCCACCTCCTGTACATGGATGACATCAAGCTGTATGCCAAGAGTGAACGAGACATCGATTCACTGATCCACACTACCAGGCTATACAGCAATGACATTGGAATGTCGTTCGGACTGGAGAAGTGTAGTCGGATGGTAACAAAGAGAGGGAAGGTAGTCAGAACTGAGGGGATTGAACTACCAGAAGGCAACATTGCAGACATAGAGGACAGTTACAAGTACCTGGGGATCCCGCAGGCAAATGGGAACCATGAAGAGGCCGCTAGAAAGGCTGCAACCACCAAGTACCTGCAGAGGGTCAGGCAAGTCCTGAGGAGTCAGCTGAATGGTAAGAACAAGATCCGGGCCATCAACACGTACGCCCTGCCCGTGATCAGGTACCCTGCTGGGGTAATAGGCTGGCCAAAGGAGGAGATAGAAGCCACTGACATAAAGACAAGAAAGCTCCTTACCATGCATGGAGGGTTTCACCCCAAGTCCAGCACCCTGAGGCTGTACGCTAAGCGGAAGGAAGGGGGGGGACTGGTGAGTGTCAGCACCACAGTCCAGGATGAGACAACGAACATCCAAGAATACATTGGGAAGATGGCCCCAACTGACCGAGTGCTCAGTGAATACCTCAGGCAGCAGAAACCCAAGAAAGAGGAGGGAGACGAGGAACCATCATGGAAGGACAGGCCCCTGCACGGTATGTACCACCGGCAGATAGAGGAGGTGGCTGATATCCAGAAATCCTACCAGTGGCTGGACAAAGCTGGACTGAAAGACAGCACAGAGGCACTAATCATGGCAGCACAAGAACAAGCTCTGAGTACAAGATCCATAGAGGCTAGGGTCTATCACACCAGGCAAGACCCCAGGTGCAGGCTGTGTAAAGATGCCCCAGAGACAATCCAGCACATAACAGCAGGGTGCAAGATGCTAGCAGGCAAGGCATACATGGAACGCCATAACCAAGTGGCCGGCATAGTGTACAGGAACATCTGTGCCGAGTATAACCTGGAAGTCCCGAGGTCAAAATGGGAGATGCCCCCAAGGGTGGTGGAGAATGACCGAGCTAAGATCCTGTGGGACTTCCAGATACAGACGGACAAAATGGTGGTGGCTAACCAACCGGACATAGTGGTGGTAGACAAACAGAAGAAGACGGCTGTAGTGATCGATGTAGCGGTTCCGAATGACAGCAACATCAGGAAGAAGGAACACGAGAAGCTCGAGAAATACCAAGGGCTCAGAGAAGAGCTCGAGAGGATGTGGAGGGTGAAGGTAATGGTGGTCCCCGTGGTAATCGGAGCACTAGGTGCGGTGACTCCCAAGCTAGGCGAGTGGCTCCAGCAGATCCCGGGAATAACATTGGAGATCTCTGTCCAGAAGAGCGCAGTCCTGGGAACAGCTAAGATACTGCGCAGGACCCTCAAGCTCCCAGGCCTCTGGTAGAGGACCCGAGCTTGAAGGATAAACCACCCGCAGGGGCGTGCTGGGTGTTTTTTTTATCTACATATAGTATATACACTGGGTGAATGTGCAGTAGTAGCAGCAAGCAGGTGAATTCTGTACATTAATATGAATAGATATCTGACTATTTTACAGGATAGACAATATAAACATATTTAAAATTAAAGGAATTTGAAATGTACATTGTGCCTTGGTTTAGAGTGTCTGGAAGAGAGTCCTGTCTCAGTCAATTATAGATGTGAGAGGGCGGGTGTGTGTGTTTAGGGCACGGATGGCTTGGGGATAGAAGCTCCTCTTGAGTCTCTCTGTCCTTGCCCGGAAGATGCGGAACCTTCTACCAGATTGCAGAAGTTGGAACAGTTTGTTGCCAGGATGGGACGGGTCTGTCAGGGTCCTGGGACTGGGCGACCCAGGATCCCTGAGCAGTTATGTATTATATTATTATTATTATTATTATATGTATTTTGGTATTGCTGCTGCTCTCCTCCATGATTGTAGATGTGAGTGTGTGTGTTTATGTCTGCGGGGATGCTTGGAGGATGGAGCTCAGCCACCTGCAGGCCTGAGGGGTGTGGCCCTGCGGAAGGACTGGCCACACCCGAAGCCACACACCTGCCGCTGATCAGGGCTCGTCGGGGGAGCTACTTAGGAGAGTCTTGGAGCTCCCACCGACGCGGGATCATTGCATGAGACTCCACGTTAGTCACCCTGTCTAAGCTAAGTCTGAAAGTGTATGCCTGCCATTCTGAGTGTCCTGACAGCTGCCGTTATTGTTTCCCGCAGGAAGAGCGTGGAGGGCACGGAGAGCAGCGAGCACCGGGGGGTGCTGACACGGGAGCAGAGAGCACACGGACTATTCACGGGAGACACGACACGGGAGTCTGGGAGAATACGGGGAGTTGTTGTTACGTTGTTTTTCACCTTGTAAATAAACACTGCCTATACATAGAGCACCGCGCCTGGGTCCTCCTTCCCCACTCCTTCCACGGTGTGCCATGCCGCACCGTGACAGGGTCCTTCAGTATCTGCGCTGCTCTAGTCCGGCATCTCCTGGTGTAGGTGTCCTGAAGCGGGGGGAGAGCAATCCTGCTCTCATAGTGTGGGGTTCATTAGTGCGTATAGAATTGGCGCTGCACATCTGGAAAACCACCACCAGTGCTGAACAGAATGTACACTTTGTAGAGCAACATATGTTCCCATCCAGATATAATTTTCAAGGACGGCCTTGTAATCCTATATTACAGCTATTACAACAACATAGCCTCATAGTAGAAGAGTCCAGGTGGGGAAATGGTCTGTCTGCAGTCCAGACCGTTCACATTGTTACATCTTGTGCAGCTACATCAGCACCAACTAAGGTCCTCCATCACAGTAATTTCATTTTTAAAGAAGTGACTTGCACAAGCAGTAAAGAAAAGGTGAAAACAAATGCAGTATTCATGCAAATGTGTCATTCTATAGATTTTAGAGGTTCCTGCCCTGCATTTGTATACTTTAATCTTTCAGTTGTTTAAGTCTTTATGTAAGGAAAATCTGTCCTCTCACATCTGCTTTCATTTATGAAATTTGGCTGAGTCCTCCACTTTTATCCTGTTTGTCATATCTGCTTTTCCACCCCGTCAAACTCAGTTTTGTCATCATTGTGATCCAAGAATCTTCTTGCCTGCTTTATCTGAACCAATCAGTGTATGTTTCACATTCTTTGAAGCTCATTGCTGTTCTATCGTTTTGTCTTTGAAACCATCACTCCCGCAACTTGCTTTCTTCTCAAGCCTCCAAAAGCTCCACAAGCACATGTAGACTTCAGGTATTCTTGGACACCACAGTGCCCAAGAATACCTGTTTGGTACACTGGACTACGGTGCTGCTGGATGAGATAAGTAATAAAATGTTAAAATCAGGAGCCTGAGCTGATGAAAGTTTCAGATATGATCCATCAAAATATAACACTGTATTTAAAGTCTAATTTGGGCCTTTTTGTATTTAGAATAAATATTAGAAAGATGCCTGACCTCAGGCATAATCTTGATGACAGTTAATACGCCCAAATGATTTTATTATTTTGTGATTTGAGATTGCCTTCTATTCAAGCGAAAGCAAGTTGAGCAGAAGAAAATGGATGGATGGAAATAGCTTTCTAGTGTAGAATTAAGAAAAAACAGAGCATTGTTTCTTGTTAGTTTCCAACATGTCTTGTTGCCATGTCAGCTGATTTAAAAAAATTCATAAAGTTCCTCTTGAGCAATCCTTACAAAGGATGGTCTGGGCAGGATTAAGTCCAAACACTTAATTAAGAACCACTCAGAATAAACAGCGACTCAGATATAACTTCCCTCAAATCTTGGCACAAATATGCTGGTTTGGTGCCAGGACATTACCAAACACGAGCAGACACATAAAGACAGATTTGTGCATGGGGAAAACTGAAATTGCTCACTCCTGCCTTTGTGAATACAGGAAAAGAACCTCAAGTCTCTAAAGAACATCAGAGACTTCATGCAAGTTTGAATGAACAAGCTCCATAGACCTGCACTGAAAACATGATTTCTCTGTCAGTAGAATATACCCCTCTTGCTTACTTTCCTTCCTTTCTCTTTTCATTGACTCAATTGGTTTCCTCTTTTTTTTCACCCCCACCCTGGAGTCTTTAATTAAGTTATCAACTCTGCTATTCTGTCTGAATTTAAATGTGTTTAGTGAAATTAACTGGTAATAGACCTCTTAAATTCTGAATTGAAGTATGTTAATCTGTGTTAATATTATTACTTCTTTCTACTTATTATTACTTAATTCACATTTTCCTCTTTTTCTTTTGCTTCATCCTTTTTCCTCCACTCTATTCTTTGTTTTGCCAGTTTTGGCATTTTGAATTACAGGAAGCATTATTACTCTCTGGGTACTCCGGTTTCCTCCCACAGTCCAAATACTTGCAGTTAGTGGAGATAGGTTAATTGGTGATTCCAGTTTACAAAAATAGTCATTTAAAGGCACTTTATATTGTAAGGTAAAGACCCTGCGCTATTCAAAGGAAGCCCTAACAACCACCCATGGCCCTTTGAGGAAGCGCTTGGTGACAGTGGGGAGGAAAAACTCCCTTTAAACATTAAGAAAACTCTAGCAGAACCAGGTTTATATGAGCTAGCTAGTTATTTTAAAGCGCTGTGTAGAACTTTCTGAGAGGAGTCACTAATTTGCTTTACTGGCTGAGATTGAAGGAGGGTTGACAAGCAGAAGTGGTTGCAAGTTGAATATCGAGACAGAAACCTACCTGCTCGACAGTAGTTAGGGGCTGGT